TTGCGACGGACGGTAGCAACCTCTTTGTGCAGTTGCATTTCCTTCACTAAGTGATCTAACCCCTTCCAGTTCCTCTCTCGGTCCCAACAGAACACATTATCGAAATAGTGCACTTCCCCTGTAGATAACAATGGCATCTGAAGTTTTCTTATTAATAAAATGATCTGTACCTTTTCAACGTCTGGTGATTCCGCTGCGAAGTCGTGTGAATCCAGTCGATCGCGTTCTATCAGGAACCCAACATAAGTGATTGGTTCTTCTGCCGTCACGCGTCACTGATTGGACCGGGTCTGTCAAAATCCCGTCCAGTCTGAGTAAACTAATTATCCATAGACACACAAAACTACTTCGTGATTTACCGAGTTAGAATGGAGGTTTCGGTGGGGTGGGGTTTGACAGTTCCTACTTCATCCCGCCCCCACGGGTACGTTATGTTGTTGACCGTTAATTATGCGCTGCTGATTGGCCCTATTCGGTTGAGTAAGGAGGCGACTCGCGTCACATTGATGCGATCGATGCTCAGGCATGAGTGTTGCAAGCACTGCAGCTCACATTTCATACATGCCAACCGTCACAGAGTACATAATCAACGGAGAAAGTTTTTACAGACATGGGGACATTTCATAATCCAAGGCTAAGACAAAGTTCACTTATTGTCCGCTCTTTGTTTATGAGTAGACGAGCAAGATACGGTATAGGTGAATTGCGGTAAGCATTATTTGAAGATGAAATTTAACGGAATCGGGAGCATGTTGAATGATGAGATTAGCAACATGTCAGTTGTGCGTGCAATGGGTGGTTAAGATCTGTGAGAATCCTCGCAGCAAATTTCACGTAGGAAGTTACGTAATACTCTGAAAGCTTTAAAGCTAATTCACTCGCAGGAATAGAAGAGACACGACCAATAATGGTTCGACCGCGGTATATGACTTTGAAATCCTGTTTGAGTAAGCCAGGCAAAATAACTGGGGAACAGTAGAGGTAGAAATAATCGAATGGGATGCACGAAACTGCCTGAGCTTTCGTATTTGAAATGATAGGCGCCGCAGTTTACCAATGCAGTTGTGGATGTGGGTTGACCAATGTGGATTGCTATCGGTGGTTACACCAAGATATTTGACAGAGTTCACCCTGAATAAATGATTGTTATTAATCACTGTGTGATCCGTCGATTATGGGAAGCGAGTGAAACACATTTACTGGGGTTTAGGGTTAGTTGCGATGAGGAGGAGAATGACTGAATTTGATCAAGATTGTTGGTGAAGGAGCTTGGATCGGAGTAAGGAGAAATGGGTTGGCACAACACGACGTCGTCTGCATAATTCAAAATTCGTGCGGGAGAAACACAGGGAACATCACAAATATAAATGGAAAATACGTATGTGGATAGCACAGCTCCTTGAAGAACTCCAGATTTGTTGACTAAGGTTTTTATGAAACCTCCATGCTCGTGGTGTGTTCTCTATCGGTAATATAGTTGGATAGCCAAGCTAACAGTTGCTTGGGGGCAAGGAACCCCTTTTTTGTGATCGATTGATGGAATCAGAAAAACACACCGAACAGACTTAACAGATTTGTTCAAAGACTTCGTGGTAAAATGAATAAGAGTGGAGTCTGTGTCCCAGGTGTATATATTAGGCTTGTAAGCAATCTGTAAAGTATCACTGGGGATGTTTATATGCCGTTGAAGGCGTTTGAGTCAACTTAAGAGCTGAAGATGTAAGCACTATGGAACGAAAATGTGTGGAGAGGATAGACGTTTTGGATGCTTTGGGTATTGCTGTGATTTTGGCCGGCCTTCAACGGTCGGGGATAGTAGAAGCGTGTGGCGGTGATTGCCCCAGCTAGGGAAGCGGAACCATATTTGAAGAGGGCTGGATGTAAATCATCCGGGCCTACTGGAGAAAACGAATTGCAACTATTTAAGAGTTTTAGCATATCACAATATTAGAATGCTTCCACATAACAAACATCGTTTGACGAGTAGGTAGGAAAAATGTCCGATGACTGGCGCGGGATTGCGGCATTGAGGTCATCAACATCCACGTCCTGCTCCGACCGTACTTCCTTCCTTCCACAGAGAAATCTTCTACCATGCCACAGGTGTTTGCTGTTTACAGTCCTCAGAATTCGACCAGAGAATAATGCGTTCAGTCTATTTACCTCAGCTTTGATAAACTTGGATCAGTACTTGTCAGCTGAAGCATTGCGAAACTTGTACGCACGTTCCTTTTGTTGTCTCTGCTACTTAAGTGGTAGGGGAGAGTTTATTCTTTCGTTGGACATATAGTCTTTGAACAGGGCAGTATTAATCATAAATGACATTGATTGTTTGGGTGACACGTGAATAGAGAAGATGAAAACCGTGAAGAGGCCTGATTGAGAGATTCATTGAGGAGAGAAATAAATGTAGGCGAGAAGTTACGAAAATAGAATCTGATGCGGTCAGATCGAGCGAAAGATTTGTATGCGCAACTTGAATAGACTTGAGGTCGAACCAAGAGTAAACCGTGGTCACTGGCGGAAATAGGTGCTTTCAGTGCTATGGATAAAAGGGTTGGGTGGTTGGTGATTACTCTGTCCAGTATAGAATTACTCCTTGTGATAGAGTGACGAAGATCTGTCATACTTAGCGATAAAAGTACTATTATGGTTATGGTCGGCAACGATTATGTTTCGGTTGACATCTAAAAGTGGGGCAATAAAAGTTCTGAACGAGTCGAAGAATGACAGACAATCGGATTGTATACAGTAAGGTGCCGTACACAAGTTAGTTAATATTGTGTGAGTAAAACGGGAGAATCCTGAGTGTCACTGCACGGTTAGGCACTCAATACCTTTTGAGCAGTACCGAAAAATAAAATAGGAATTGCCGCACCAGGAAACGTTGACATATGTCACAACACCCTTTATAGTCTTTTTCCCCATCTATCGACACTAAAGAGTCATTTATATCCTTATTCAACCAGGATTCTTGTACACAGTCTGCACACGTGTTCTTATGAATAATTGGTTGGAAGACACTAGTTAAATCCGTCATCTTTGGAAACATGAACTGAGTGTTAATACTGACCATGAAGGAACAGTCATCTTGGTGAAATGGGTGTAATTAAGGGCAACTTTCCATCCTGCACCCTTGCGTTTTTCGATCCAACCTGGACAATGAGAAACTGGGGTTGCACAAACCGATGTACGATCAAAAGATGTCCTGGTACGTTTGAAACTATTAATGATAATCATAATATGATCCCGTGAGTAACGATTACGCATGATATTGAGTGAAAATGTGAAAATTCCAATGCGCAGCTAATCGGGGGGCGCGAAATGAATTATTACCTGAGTGGATTCAGTTTAGGCCATCAATAGCCTAGTAAATTCCATTGAGGCAGAGGTGCCTTGGAATAACCGAATTCTTTGATCCAAAAGCAATTGCCTACATGTTTCGGGCATTGAAAGGCACGCTCGACTAGATTTTGTTCTTCCGTTGATCATGATTCGTTTACAACGCTTTTATGACGATAAGGTTTCGAACTTTTTGTTTTGATATTCGTCGCACAAAACACACGACGGGCAAATTGAACCGTCATGCGATCAACATGCGCATTCTCTTACAGGTTGTACCAACAGCAATTATAGACTAATACTATTTTCCCTCAGGTTGCATTCCGTTTCCATTCAATGGTTATTTTCGTATCCTCTTCACATAGGACGTTGCCAAGCATTCCCTTCAACCACCAAGATCACTCGTGTAGGTGTTCGTGTCAAACGGGCCTCAGAATCGGAGCATCTGCTAGTTGTCAGTCGATCTCTGTCTGATGTAAGTCGCACATTCATTTTGTGTCTCTCATTGTGAAGTCCAATCTTGTCTATGTTGGTTCCAATGATTCACCGCAACATACGCGTAAGCAGTGAGAAACAAAGCATCTCCACAGATTTTCGCTCGTAGTTCCTAACCACAGTTATTATATCAAAAATGCAGGTACTAAAGTGTTTCGTGGCCGTTTGATTTGGTTTTATTGCTTCGCTTTGTCTCCACTATTAATTAAAAAGAAATTCAACGGTTTTCTTTTCTTGAACTGGAGGACGACATAATATCGACCACATGAACCGGTTTTCTCGTCCTGTTTGAAAATACATGTGTTCAAAGAAATGAGGTTTCTTCACTGCTTCTTTTTGTTTCAATTAACTGGAATGAATACAACCCTTATCTTCACCCTACGCTGCTAGACGATTTGAAACGTTCGAATTACATATACACATTTGTTCCTCCCAACCCGTAGTTTTCCCGACATTATTCACGGGATTGAATGTGGTATTGCCCCACATCGTATGCAATCAATCGTATCAATCAGATATCCACCCACGTCTTTGATTCTGTTAGTTGAATTCCAATAAAATGCACGATTTCTCTATTTTGACGATGATCGCTGGTGCATCAGTTGTAAAATAACAAGGCCACAGTAAAAACCTCACTGGAATTTCTTTATCGAAATGGCTCATAAACTTCATACAGGTATTGTACTCTCATCTCGTTCATATTCTACTTGCCCTTCATTTTTGAGCACTGGAGGTAGTCACTTTAGCATGGAGTCCACCAGTTTGATTATCGCCGGTTTCCTATGATACATGCCGCAACCTAACCAATAACGACCCCTGTCTAGGCAGCTACCCTATCTCTGTTTCTAACACAACGAGACGTTTTCGAATACATTCAAATCCCAACTTTTAGGCCGCAATAGAATGAGTTCGATATTGGTTTTGACTTATGTTCACATCGAAGCACTTGCACTAGCAGAGAACTTAGTCATCGAATTTATGTTCTCCATTCATGAAGTTGAAAGTGTGAAATGTAATACAACAGTTAAAGGGAGTGAAACAAACTGTCACAAGAAAAAAAACAATGGCATTCCAGGGTGTTTATCATTGGTTTAGTTTAACATTTGGCGCAGATTTTCTGCCACGAGTTCATGGTTTGTATGAATCCCGGAGAGATACGCTACAATAAAGCGCCAGTAAACCTCGGTGCATGATTTTCTCAGGTTATGACTGAAACGGGTGGATGAGTAAGAAAGGCATTGACTACGAGTGGGCTAAAGGAGATGGGAAATATCCGACAAGATCTCATTGGAGAATGTTTACAAGATTAGAGGTGGTCTACCATCACATTCTGTACCAAGTGTTCCCTTGGTATAAGACTAGGTACGGACAGAAACTTGAGGGAACGGGAACGAGATTAGGTCCTTGTTAAAAAGGCAGAGGAAGATAGCAGGGGACCTGTAAAGCCAGTGGGGCAAAACGCAAACAAAAATAAAACGCCTTATGAGGTAATTTGGGATACAAAGTGATTTAAGACGTGAAACATAAAACGTGGCCTTCTGACCTTCAGAAAAAAATCATTGACGTGGTCAGACCAGGTAAGGTTACGGTTGAAAATAACGCCAAGATATTTGAAAGACAGTGGTCGATCCATCTGGTCACTGAAGTTAGATAAACGCGGGCTGGCATTTGACAGCTCTCCATACTTTTTACCTCTCGAAAGCGAAAATTTACGTCATCACATTGTTTGGGTTCATACAGAGATTCTTTTGTTAAAACCACTCCACTATTTCTGACATGTCTTCTTCTAGAGCGGTTTGAAATGATGGTTTGGGGTAGGACAGTGTGCATACTTAACAAGAAGAGAAGAATTGCTCACAGGCATAGAGGAAATGTAAGCGGAAAATAGAAAACGGGATAAAATTGGGCCTTGTGAGGGGAGCAGCATTGAAGATGAACCACCTTTTTAGCGTGCGAACTGCTGATGGTTGGCTAAGAGTATACAAGTACAGACAAGATGGGGCTTTAGAAGCAGCCACTTTGTACAGGTAAATCAGGAGTCGCGGTTCAATGCATGATCAGATTCTCAAACAATCCAAGTGGAATTCTCGCTTTCAATACTGCAGAAACAATCAGCCTTCAACATTTACAAAATTTTAATTTAGATACCTACGTAACGTAAACCCATCTGTTGTACATGAGTCCTAAACACGCGAACAGTCTGAACACAAGTAAGATAGGAAATTTTGCTGTGTGAAATGCTTTGTCCTCCGTAGTTCTCTAATTTCAAGGAACATGTCTTCATTACTACAAGCATTTTTGAAAGGAAGCGAGATTTTGCCTCTTCCTTTTCTCCTTTTGATCGACATTCAATGACCGAGCATGCAAACACTCAGCTGAACTCCGGTTAAACTATATCCATTGTTTACCATTTGACATGATTACTAACTTGTTTGCATAATTTCTTCCCGTACTTTCTCAATTCTTCTGAATCAGTCTAAGGAGGAGTTCCCTACTTGTTCTTTCGGTCACTTCGGTAAGTATATTTATTTTTTAAGAAATGATTTCCTGTTTACCTAATTGCGTCAATTTAACAGGATGGCATAATGTCCTATTTTTTTTCTCCCTAGAATATTGCCTATGGACAATCACCGAAACAATAATGTAATCTTCCATTAATAATTTTTCCCCCGCCATATTCTTCTTGTTAAACCTACTGATAACAAAGCAACGGTCAAAACATTTTCCACTCACCGAGATTTCATGATTCAACGGTATCGCTTGGGGAATTTAATCGCAGGTAGAACGTCGAATGGATGAAGAGAAAAGCGAGCAACTTTTGCAGGTTATCGCAACGGACTGTGTTCATTATAGCATTAGACACGAAACCATGTGGTTTCTTTCCTCATCGGAAGGTAATCGCATCGGCTACTGAATGCAACTATTCAATCACGAAGTCCGTTCAGCTACACTCAGATGAAGCTTTGACTTGCACGAAATGCGTTTTCATCGAATACAAGTAAAATGCAGCTCCGCTAGATTGCTGTCTCATGATTGACAAATGAATGGAGAAGTAAAGGGATCATTGGAATGTTCAACTGAGTGTCACAGTGAAAATAGTTAATTCATGAGAACACGAATGAATGACACGACACAGCAATATCACTGACTAACAGTAACCATTATTCGCAATGATTCTGATGTCCTTCATCCAGGAAGCTCAAGGCAGCCTATGTGAGCAAGTTTCTGGGTCAGAGTGTACATGTCCTCATGAGCGGATCTGACATTGACCACTTCTTACTTTTTCCATCTTTCACCTGCCTCGGCAAACGTCACGCGCCATGGCATCCTGTTTGGTGACATGCACAACGAACGCATCTTACGGATGTTCATCCCTTAATCCAGGGGACAACCGCGATATCCTAAAACCCTACGCCTAACCTCAGGATTGCTCGACCGGTTACCCCACCAGATTCGTGCAGTGCTGCGTACACAGCGGTGTTCAGATACCGACAGCCTATCTTCATCCTGTTTTCTTAATGGCCAACTCTCTGCACCGCATAACAGCAATGACTGAAATACTGCAGCCTATACTCGACCGTTCACGATTAGTCGGCTGTCGCGGCAGCGCCATAGATGTCTCAAGTTGGCAAATGCAAACGCGCCTTCTATATGCGAGCTGACATATCATCCGTGATGCGTCTACCGGGTGAGATGTAGCTACCCAAATATCAAAACGCATCTACTTGATCTATAACATCCCCAGTTAGAGTGAGGCTGGGGATGGATGAAACAAATCTTGCAGAAACATTCTACATTTTGAAGGTGCAAAACGCATACCGAACATGCTTACACTAGCACTCGCATTATCCAGAAAAGCTTGCGAATTACCTGGATCTCCACTTAACAGAACAATGTCATGTGCATACTCCAGATCAGACAGTCCGCCACCTGGGAGTAAATTGATACCGCTATCCTCGCACGAGGATAGGGCTGGTTTGAGAATAAAATATATGACAAAGTGAAACAGAATGATGTGAATCGGTGATCAAACCGATTTACAAGAAGGGCGACAGGTTTTCTTGTGAAAACCACAGAGGAATTAGGTTAATTAACATCGTCTCTAAACTTCTCGCTAGGATCACACTCCGTCGATTGTCTGCTGCTCGTGAAGAGTGCACACGTGAGAACCAGGCTGGTTTTAGACCCGGTCGAGGTTGTATCGACCACATCTTTACTCTTCGTCAAATCCTAGAACACAGACACTTTTCGTAGACCCACCATTTCCATCTTCCTCGACCTGAAAGCGGCTTTCGACTCAGTCGACCGCTCTAAACTCTGGCGCTGTCTTTTTCTGAAAGGTGTGCCCGAGAAGTTTATTTCAATATTTCAATCCCTCCATAATAATAGCCGAAGCCGAGTCCGAGCTTACGGCCTTTTTTCACCCGAGTTCACCACGAAAAGTGGTGTTCGACAGGGTTGCCCTCTCTCTCTATTTCTATTTAACTTTGTTATAGATCTGAACATGGAAACAGCCCCATTCTCGTGCGAGGATAGTGGCATCGATTTACTCCCAGATGGCAGACTGTCTGATCTGGAGTATACACATGACATTGTGCTACTAAGTGAAGATTCAGGCAAGTTGCAAGCTTTTCTGGATAGTTTGAGTGCTAGTGTAGCGATGTTCGGCATGCGCTTTGCACCTTCAAAGTGTAAAATGCAGCTCCAAGATTGGGTTGGCCCAGTCCCCAACCTCACCCTGACCGGGGAAGTTGTAGAGATAGTAGATAAGTTTTTCTACCTGGGCAGCTATATCTCACCCGGTGGACGCATCACAGATGAAGTGTCGGCGCGCGTACAGACGGCTCGGTTGGCATTTGCCAACTTGAGACATCTGTGGCACTGTCCTGACATCCGGTTGTCCGTGAAGGGTCGTGTATATGTTGCAGCAGTTCAGCCAGTTCTGCTTTACGGCGCAGAGACTTGGCCATTACGGGCACAGGATAAAAATAGACTGTCGGTGTTCGAACGCCGCTGTCTACGTCGCATTGCACGAGTCTGGTGGAGAAACCGGACGAGCAATGCTGAGGTTAGACGTAGAGTTTTAGGCAGTCGCGGTCGTCCACTGGATCAGGTAGTCGACCTCCATAGATTACGCTGTTGGGACATGTTTTACGCATGTCACCAGATAGGTTACCACGGCGAGCGTGCTTGGCGAGGCAGGTAGCGGTTGGAAAAAAACCAAGGGCGGTCAAGCTAAGACCTGGCATGAGGGTATGAAAACCCTAACCAGGAGACTGGGTCACATAGGTCCTGTTAGGCTCCCTGGCTGGGGACCCCGAGATCATTGTCACCGGTGGTTAGAGACACTGAGCGATATGGCTGGGTGTCGCAAACAGTGGCGCTCATGCATCTACTCATTATTCTTGTAATTTCAGTCCATGAAAATGTGCTACCTTTCACTTAAATCTGCTCTGGACATTCTAATCATCATTCTGCTATTTTATCCAAATGGGTAACCAAAACCGGCGCACGAAAGTGCATGGTTAATGGTTGTAAGAACTGAACTGAACTAAATAAAAATGGAATGGCAGAGAGGGCAACCCTGACGAACACCACTTTCCGTGGTGAATTCGGTGGGAAAGTGTCGTGTGCCCGAACTCCGCTTTGGCTATGAGTATAGAGAGATTGAAATATTGAAATAAACCGTTCAGAAAGAGGCAGCGCCAGAGTATCAGGCGGTCGACCCAGTCGAAGGCTGCTTTTAGATTGAGGAAGACAGAGGTGGTAGGTCAACGAAAGAAGTGCATGTGCTCTAAAATGTAGTCTATGCAACCTCAACCGGTTGTAACACCAGCCTGGTTCTCATGCGTGCACCGTTCTGTGCGGCAGACAATCGACGGAGTATAATACCGGCGAGAGATTCCGAGACGATATTGATTAACCTAATTCCTCTGTAGCTTTCACAAGAGGATCTGTGACCTTTATTCTAAATCTCCCCTCCCCAAACAACCCTCGCGATCTGTTAACTCGTTGAGACCAACGACTTGCCACATGATCAGAGTAAGATTATTCATAGGCGCAGAGCAAATTAGCGTGGATAAGGTCACATTCGGCATGGAGTTTGCTTTGGGTGATAGTTATGCTGTTTATGTAATGCTGCCTATTGCCTTGGTTATCATTTGAGAGTGAGAGCGAGGTTTTGGTAATCTGTAGCTTTCATTGTTTGTTCAGTTGTAGGTTGACTCAATTTTTAAAAAGGATTGAATTAGTCTACCCAGATCACGGTGAGACGGATTATTCCTACAATCACGCAACTTTTCACCACCTGCCTTCGACTTTTCATCTCAGTCAGTTTTTCATTTTCTTTGATGTTGATCATTTGTTGGTAGAAAAGTAAAATTTAATTCTCTGGCTTGTGTGTTACTTTATGAGATTGAAAATTTGACACTCAATTATGAAAAAAAGTAAAATTGTAGCAGCATTGTGCCAACTTCGTCATTGTCTCCCCCTCATACATTTTCCGATTGTGATCAGATGAGAATCACGTCTACGGAACTCTGTTTCGTCACAGCACATGTTATGATGTGCTTCCGGACAGTGGCAAGTTGGTCGTGTTGGATTCCAAATTGGGGGTAAGGTTTCGTTTCCTACGCTTCATTTCCGATGGGACGCATTTTCCGAAGACATGAACTGAACTTGCAAATGCTTTCTCTCTCTCTCTCTCTCTCTCCATATATCAGGTTGTTCGCGCCATTCGCGCCCTTCTGGAAAACGGGGTGCAGGCTGCACCGATATGGCATGCTGCCACTCAACGCGTTACCGGCTTGTTCTCGCAAGATTTCGCGCTACATCTACTTTCCTCATTGTATCATTATGGCTCAGTCACTGAAATGAATGACCAGGCGTCCAGCAGTCCCACGGTGTTCAGCGACTCCAACCAAGAACCATATCAAGCGGCTACTGATCCTACTTCACAGTCGAACAGTATAGCTCACGGATTGCGAATCTGGGGATCGAAGCGGCTCAGCGATGTGCTTCGTAAGTGGTATGATTCTGCTGTTGCGTGACTGTGCTCGCTCCGGTTTAAAAAAGGGGTGTCTGTGCGCCACAAACAATTCCTCATAGCTCATTTCATCAACACCAACATGATCAGATTAGGTTTACATCTCCGTTTCTTTTGGGTTGATCCTGCCAGCAATTTGGATTCTGATGCGTTGTTTGACTATTCGAATTGTTAAAGGATTATACGCCAGATGTAGTTCTGTCTGCTATAATCCTGACGGAGATTGTTTTGCCTGTGAGAATGAGAGTGCAAGTAAAATGTGGTTTGCCACAATTGTAACTCTCCACTTCGGTGCTGACTTGGGGAAGTCCCCATAAAGGTTATCATAAAACGATATGATCGGATAGTGTAACAACGTTTCCACATTGGTAGCAGTAGTCCATTGCGAATACGCTCGATGATTGGATTAGTGAAACACTTGGCACCGCAATAAACCGATTCTAGGAAGGATACAGAACCTTGGTAATCAGGTCGGAACTTGATTGTCTGTCTGCGTTTTTGTAATTTATGTATATCCGTTCACTTGATTTTTTTGCTTCATCGTTTATTAGCAGCACAGTCAAATGACCAATAAATTGCGGGAGAGAAGCAGGGGAGAAAACGGGATCCCACTATTTATTCACCTTGATTTAGCTCTTCTAGCTGATACGTTGCAGGTGAACAGTGGGTCTGCATAAATTTAGAGTTGTTGTCCTCTCACCAAACAGGTTATTTTAAGAAACCAAATACTAACAATGTAAGAAGAGATTAGCGTCGATTTGTGTCAGTTGTATTATCTGTGTGGCGATCTTCCTGGTATATGCTGATCTTTGTGTGCGTGCCCCACATTGAATTAGAAAACTCTAATGGGCAATCGGATATTGATTGATTGGTAATTTTTGCTCGTTGGACCTGAACAGATTGAACAAGAGCACGTTGAACTAATGCATTGTGTACGGGTTTCGTTTCTTCGTATGGGTCTCCAATGAGACAATCTAGCATATGATCAGAGGTTTTCACGGTGTTTAGTGGAGGATTCGGACCCGGAGGCTGCAGATTGATATGCTTTGAATCCATCTGCACCTCCACAAGTCAACGAGGTACACGCGATCTCTTATCAAATCGAAGAATTACTGATCATGTCTACAAGCTGTACAAGCTAGATGAGAACGTGTACGGTGGATTGGGCCTAGTTGGGGGATAAATTTTTATATTTCCACACACCTCAATTCAGATTGTGTGCCAAACAAACCGCGTTACAATGATCTTACTTGAGGGCACGATACTGCCAGATTGCCCAGCCAAGGCAGGTGAACTTTCTTAGAGAATTCTTAACCGGAGCCGTCGGGTAGCCAAAGTCTGACTCACAACGGAGCGGGCTGGTGTGACAACCGCAACGCACTGGGGGCCGGTGTCCAGTTTATCGGATTATACGCCCTTCTGACGGGGTGATCAGTCGCATCCCGAGGCAACCACTCCCGACTATGTTAAGACATTCGGAGGTCTATTTAGGGACGGACAAAGAATGCGAACCTTTGTGGTCAAGTTACAGGGTACACAATCTAACTTCACACGTACCTTTTCAAGTATTCTGGTTTGATAACAAATGAATATAAGAACACCAACGCTGTCATCTGATATCGGTTTCAAAAATTATTTGCGGCTCCATTTGTTGATGGAGGTGTTTCGTGCTACGAATCATCCTGCATAGACTGATTTGCGTTCGATCAGACTGCTTTGAGGCACTTTCTTCATAAAGTAATTCCTCGCGTACCTCCCACATACCACCCGAACTTACTAGGTTTAGTCTCTGGGCTACTCACTTGAGTGATAATTAGGTGAATGTTAGTTCTGGTATGCAACACTGAGTGTATGATATTCTGCTGGTTGATTTGTCGTGGTACTCGGCTGAGTTTACATGTGAGGAAGGTTTGTTATCATTGCTCAATTAATGGAAAAGAGTTATGAACCTCCCATCATCTCCAACGGTTTGCCTTGTGCCCATTGTTACAGTTTGGAGAACCAGCCGGTGCATTGTTGAAGTCTGATCCGTTTCAGGTATGGGGCGTTGAGGTAATACGCTCCTAAAGCTGATCTGAATCATTCTGGTAACGTTTGGTTTCCTATAATTGTGCCGATCGTAGCTACGTCAAATAAGCGTTTGTTTCGGCTTTTTATTCGATTCATTTTCGTGCGATGTTCACTTTCAGCTTAGATTTTTTCCTGTCTTCCAATCCGGAGATAGAGCTAATCTATCACGCTTCGCTCGATCACTGAATGTATCCCGTTGTCCATTTGACACTTTTCTCGGCTCTCCTTTCTTGCCTATCTTCCTTCCCATCATCTCCGGTATCCTCCCATAGGTCTTTTCTACCCACCAGAACATCACAACTCGTCGCCAGAATTCGCGGATTCCGCTCTGATTGTTCCTCCTCAAATGGGTTTGCAAAAAGCATTGTGTCGTCTAGTCCACAAATCCCACTCGCATCGAATTCATTCACGTCACCGATCCAAATCCGAATCCAGTGATCTTACTCAAAACAGCCTCTTTCGCTCTGATTCTGGAAAGGAACAACATCGTTTGCGAAGTAAGCCTGTCCGCCAGAATTCTATGGACCTTTTCGATTGGGAATTCCCTGAGGTATCCTCAGTCCCGAATCCTGGACTGCAGAGTATTCAAGATGGCAGTACGAGCTCGATCTCTGAGCGTCAGCGTCACTCTTCCGACCCGCATGGGGGCAATGGTAATTTACAATCGGGCCCACCGTCAACTGGGCCCTCCGCCTCACTTCAAACAGGCCCCGCTGGATCACATTCTGTGTCCTATTCACCCACACACCTGATTGTAATGAATCCAGACTGTGGGAATGTTCTTGGATTGCTTGGAGTCGATCGGTTGTTAGCGTACTTACGCCT